GAAGCATCCATTCCCTGGGCCTCGGCCCCTGCCTCGACAGGATGTCTGCTCCCAAATTGGGATGCCCAGGAATGTAAACTGCTCTCAGCGAGAGAAGTTTTCCCTGGGACCACACAAGGATCTGGTACGCTAGTTTGTACAAACGGGGAACTCTGGTTCCATGACCAGAGCCTGCTCGGGGCCCACCAGCGTGGATGTAAACCCCTTGAAACGAGGCGGAGGAGAACCAAACTGGATTCTGTAACCCTTCTCTAAAGTGTGCAGGACCCACTGAGACACATTTGGCAGTAGTTTCCACGCTGCCCCTGAAGAGGAACTTTTGTTCATATAGCAGTACTTTTAAAATAAAATGAGCAATACAGTACTTTTGAATTCATTATTGAATTTTGCGCATAACAGTGCGAAAAAACATCCGATTAATTGATGCCCACCTCTTATATATAAATAACTCTTTGTAACAAACTCAATTAGCAATCAAAAATGGTATAAATCTGGGCTACTTAAATTTGAAAAGCTCAAGAGTCACAAAGCAGGATCCATTTAGGATCCATTTTTGTAGTAATGCTTTTATATTAAGCAGGCAAGTTGGCTTTGTGAGATTTGGAAAATGAGCAAATTACAGTTAGTAATATTATACTGTATGCTTTTCATGTTGTATTAAATACTTATTTTATATGTCAAAATAAATATTTGTGGTTACCAAGGCTCAAATTTATTTGATCAAAAATTGTGATATTATTGCAATCTAAAATAATACATCTTTTAAAATACTTTTAAAAATGTAATTTATTTTTAAAATGGCAAAGCTGGATTTTCAGCAGGCATTACTTCAGATTTTAGTGTCACATGATCCTTTTTTTGTGTAAAAACGTGATTTTCCCCCTATGATGAATATATTGTTTAAAATAAACAATATAATAATAATAATAATAATAATAAACTAACTGACCCCCAACATTCAAACAGTAGTGTGTGTGTGTGTGTGTGTGTATGTAATTAGTGAATTAAATAATAATAATAATAAATAATACATTAATTTTATTTTAATATTTGCTTGTTTTTATTTTGAACTTGATTAACTCTAGCTAAAAAGTATGATTATTATTTACAAATGAATAAATAAGTTGGTTTCAGCACAGAAACTGTTTCACATTTTGTAATACGGTACTTGAGTTAAAAAAACTGTTCTATTTTGTTATAAATATGTTAGGATTAGCCAGATTTGAAGCAGTTGCAAAATAGCTGAGCTAATAAAATATAAAATATAGTAAAATATTGAATATTTAAATAATAGCACCTTATTTATTGACATATGTTTGCTGTGTCTTTCGTACTCTCAGACAGACATGGACAAGGTGATGCCATGCGTGGTAATGCTTAGATCTCTCAGGTGTCATTATGCTGATGTGACGGTGATAGGTGATGGAGAGAGTGAGAGAGGATGAAAATGAGAATTCTAATTAGTTTGATTCTTGCTATTTTAAATCACCCACCGGAGACCCCTCCATCTCTCACAACAGAGGAAGATAACAGTCAGACAGTGAAAGCAGCCGGCAGTCGGGAAACACTCCAGCCCCTGCACTCCTCCCGATCTTTCCCTAAAGCATGTAACGGACTTTCAAATAGCCACATTGGAGATTGTTGCCTGGAGGTGCTGTAATGTAATTTCTCCAACCGTTAGAACACCCACACAGGGGAGCCGCACTCCTTTATGGAAAAGTAAATGATTGCTCGCATCTGCAGCTAAGACCGTTTGGAGCTGCTCACTTTCTGCCCAGAGATGGGTGTAGCTGCCCCAGGCGAAAGGAAGCTACAATATTTCTCTCTGCTGCTTGAGCGTGAACAAGGTCACCCTGGCTGAACCTTGTGTTAATTACTCTGTTTGGAGGAGTCACGTTTATTTCACAAGTGCCCTTATGAGGCAGCACACTAATGAGACCGTTCGTTTCTCACTCTGTCAGTCTCTCTGTGTTTTCACTCTTCCATTTGGACTTAGTGAGATTGAAAATGCGATGATACTGTCCAGTAATGTGGATCATCATTGAGAATGTGGTGCAAAGTAGGCGCCAGGATGAACAACTAAATGGAACGTAGTTGAATGTCTACCATTACCTTTACTAGAGTGTTTCACCACATTAGTACATATTCATAATCCTAAAAACTTACTAAACATTATGAAGGAATAATTATATCTTGCCTAAATTAAATTAAATTAAATATTAAATTAAATTAAATTACATTACATTTAGGGGTGGGAGAAAAAATTGATTCATCGATGCATCGCGATTCTCTCTCCAACGATTCTGGATAAATTCTGAGAATTATTCTGAGAAGATTCTGAGCTTACACTGTAAAAAATAATACACTACATCTACTCAATAAAATTGTGGCAACAGATTACAAGCAATAATATTAATTAAATTAAACAACTATTGAGAATTGAGTTAGAATTAATCAAACGTGTTCTTAAAAATTAGCCATTCAAATTAAGTAGCAAATAGCACACACAACAAAATTTAAGTAAAATTTAAACAAAAATATTGGTTTCATCAGAGTACTATTTTAATGAACATTTTGATATATTCACACTTCTGTTGTATTGAAATTAAGATTGCATACTTTCAATTCTTTGATGAGGTCTCCTAAATGTTCCCCAAGAAATTCTATAATGCAGCTGATGACCACCTCTCGTCATAAACAGAACACTGCTCACCCTAAAAAAAAAAAAAAAAAGGGCAGAGGTTAATTTAGTGGTGTAAAACAGGGGTGCAAAAAATGTCAACAGGTGAGCAACAAACTGTATAAGCCACTCCCAAGGTGTTTTTGCCTCCACAATATTTTGTTCCTTGCTACTTTCACCATTTGGCTTGATCACATGGGTTAAAAAACAGATGAAGTAAATTTTTTGTAAATTTTTACAAATTAAACAGTGCTTGAATCTATCAACAGAGCTTGTTGAATAAAAACCTACCGACACTGTATTGTCCTCTGTACAACTGATTTACATTTGAAACTGAAGTTGATACTATAATTGAAATTGAACGTATATATATAAACAACTTATTTAATATTTTCTGTGAAAGTCCATGAAATTAACTGAAGGCAACAAAACATAACCTCACTGAACTGTTGTCACACATAAATGCATGTCAGCTTTTTTTGTTTGAGAACCTAAATATCATCACGTTTAATATTTAATTTACAGTAGAAGGGGAAGTACTACCTGCTGATCATGAAGAAAAATACAAGAATAAACAATTCCTCTCACCCTTACATAAAACAACAAGTAGCCAAATGGCTTGCATTTTAAACTGTACCTTCAGTAGTTCCATCTCAGTTTTCAGTCTTTCTCCGAGTGCTCCTCCTTTGGCACGAAACAGTTGTTAACAGCTTGGGAGTGTGAAGATCCAGTGAGGACCAATTTAGGTTCCAGCTGCACGATGCTCGATTTCTAGCCTTACGATGTTGTGCAACAAAATGCACTTGTTTATGGATTATTATTCGTAATATGCCAACGTGATGGATTGAAAAGAAGAGGTGCACTGGAGTGATGGAAACGACGTGCGCGCTGTTCAACGGCAGCGCTAACGTTAAATAGTTTTAAAATGAACCCCTTCAGCCATTCATCGGTGTAAAACGTGGTTTTCCATACTTTATGAGCAACACCCTAGTTCAAACGTACCAATATGTGATGTGGATATTAGGCCACAAAAGGTCACTTAAGATAGTAACGTTAATCTACAAAAATATTGGCAAACAGTTCATGTTACATGAACGAATTAGCATCTTTATTTTTCAAGAGCACTATCACCAATCTATTTTAAAAATAATCTTTCATAAAGTTCAGAAAGGTTGAAGCGAATTGCAAGGACATTTGTGGGCTTCATTGCACAGGATGCACTGTGAGAGACGATCGCTTTGTTTGATGTTACACTTGAAGTGTGCGGTTTCGCCCATCAGTATTTTCCTTACAAATGCTCTACGAAGTCATCATTTATGTAGTTTGGAATGCAGTGGACATATTTCAAATATGAACCTCACTAACAGAAGGCTGCTTTCAATTTCAAATGCTGACGCACGCTTTGTTTGTGAAGACTGCTCACGCATGTGGCTGTGCGCATCTCCGTGTATGTGGTTTAATGCACTTGCGTCTCAAAATGGTTTTATGACGCAAAATTAATGTAAACACAATGTCTTAAGGGATTAAACGGACAGGAAAAACCACATTACTACTTATATTTCAAAAGAGATCCGTGACATCTCCCGCTGTCTATGATGTCATAGTAAAAAACAACAGTAAAGATGAAGAAAAACAGTTCTTGAATGGAAAACTGTTTTAATTATTTTTTTCAAATTGTAATTATTTTAAAAAGTACTTAATTACTTATGTAAGGATATGTAAATGTAAGGATTTTAAGATTCTGAAGTCGGTAAACTAATTAATTAATAAGGGGGGAAAAAAGTAGATCAAGAATCATTCTGGAATCGGATCATGACTCCCAGAATCGGAATCGGATCGGATCGTGAGGTGACTAAAGGTTCCCACCCCTAATTACATTACATTACATTATTAAATGATCATTTTATTTGGCTAGCTAGGTAAGACTTTCAGGCACAGGCAGACCACTTATAATTCTGTAGTGCAGACGGCCTAAGTGAGAGGGGGTGGCGATGCTACTCTAAGCAAATAGTTCCACAATCAATTTACAGATTTATTTATGAAAACACTTCATACAAGAATGGGCTTATTGAATAATCGAGAGGCATTTCACCACATCTTTGGACTTCCTGTTTTCTGCTCCTGTCATGATGTGCTGTTTAATTTCCTTTAAATTATTATTGAGGTTGAGGAAATTACCATATCTTATTTAAAATGAAAGAGAATACAAAAGGTTTTTTATCCATAAATCTAGCAACTCCTAGTGATGCTGACAGTTTCCCAGCTATTGTATCAATATTCTAATTATATCCCACAGATTTCTTGAAAATGGTGATATGTATGTATATGCTGTTGGATATAGTTTTCTACCGGTTGGGCTGCAATTATATAAATTACAACAACAATGTACACTGAGATTAAGAAAGAAATGTCTTCTCAGGTGTCATTTTGTGCCAAACGTAACCCGTCATTTTCTTTTCTTTTGGGTTTGAATGATGATGTGTTGATTGCAGATCAAAAGAATAAAGAAAAAAAAAAGATTGATACATTACACCTTGGGGTGACAGAAACGGAGGTTTGATACTGACGTTAAGAGGCTGACAGGTAGTGAATCTACCTATTTAATATGCATTTAATATGCAGATCTATCTATCTATCTATCTATCTATCTATCTGTCTATCTGTCTGTCTGTCTGTCTGTCTGAAAAGAAGAAATCAAGACTTTGTCTTCAGGCACTGACTAGTCAATTTTAAAAACATGTAGTTTCGCACTACAAAAGTCTTTCCTTGGTCCTGGTGCTACTGTGCTTTGGAGACACTTTACTAAAGATGTTGGCGTGATGAACTGGAGACTGTTTTATATGTATGGAGAGTTCTTTCAATTTTCTCTCAGCAAAAAACAACAATAGCTTTAAAGTCTTGGGTTTCAAATTCTTAGCATGCCGGCACCTAATTTATTGCATACACACATGTTGGCTTTGACTGTGACGAGTAGCACAGTTGAATTCCCTTATGCTAGTGCTGTAATGAAGCGGAGAGAATGAGGCAGAGATGATGAGGGGAAGGAGGTTACTATATGTAAACCGTAAGGGAGAAAATACATAGTTTAAACTGCCACCTCTCTCCGCTAGTTTACATCACTTTGATCCTGATTCTAATCCCACACATAAACAGAAACACACACAAGGGATGTGCAAATATTTTCTAGAATATGAACAACATATTTTCGCAGTGTAGTTGCTGGGTTGTCTGGGTAATTAGTAGACTGATCAATTGTGAGGAAGTCCTAATTACATTATCTGATTGGTATCTGGTGGGTTTTCCTTAAGAAGCATATTAGAGGTATATTAGTCATATACTGTAAAATGCATTCTTCAATTAAAAAAAAGGTTGTTTTAACTTAAAAATTCAACACTTATGGCATGGAATGTTTGAAAAATACACTACTGGATACACTACCAATTAAAAGTTTGGGGTCAGTAAAAATTCATACTTTTATTCAGCAAGCATGCATTAAATTGCTGTGAACGGGCAGTTAAAGTCTCTGTGAACTGGAAGTTGCTACTGACTTTAATATTGTAATGTATATAAAACTGAAACAAAATATTAAATAGAGGGTGGTATTTTTCTCCTCACCATCTCTCACTCACAGCAAACTAATGGTATTATGCCCAAGCTGTCAATCTGATGTCATCAGAGAAGTTTTTTTTTTATTTTGATTAAAGATTACAAAGACAAACATTTTTTTTTCAGTTTAACTTTTTAATTGTTCATCTCAACACTAGCTATGTGCACTAAAAAAAGAAAAGAAAATAGTGTACATTTTGATTTCATGTGGACTTTAAAGACTGTTATGTTGTTGCAAAAAGAAAAAAAAATATTTCAAATGAATGCTTGTTACATTTTTTAAAAGTTCTATTCATCAAATAATCCTGGATAAAATGTATCACATTTCCTAAGCAGCACAACTGTTTTCAGCATTGATATTAACTGTTTCTTGAGCACCAAATCAACATATTAGACTGATTTCTGAAAGACCATGTGTCACTAAAGACTTGAGAGATGTATGAATCAGGTATGCATGCTTTGTGTATGCATGTGTGTGTGTGCTTAAGTGTGCAGTGGTGCTTGCTTGCTCTATTTCTGCTGGTGTTTGATGGAGTTTTTCTGTGCTTGCAGATAGTGCCTCAGGAGATGGCGGAAAATTGCTTTTGGCTCAGAGTCAAAGAGGAGCGGTTTGAGAACCCGGACATGTTCAGCAAGCTTTCACTGTCCTTCTCTTCTAAATCCAGAGGTAAGGACAACCTGCTTTGCCTCCCCCCTAATCATATAGGCACACATAGTTTCAGCTACCCTGATACCCGCTTTTATCCATCCAAACATTGGGAAACCAATCGTCTCTGTGAAATCATAATTATCTTCATGAAGCTGTCTCAGTTTCCACCGACTTCCCCTTTTTTATGCAGTCTCTAGAATCAGATTATGTAAGCGTTTAGCTCTGTGCCAATTAGCAGAGCTGCAGAGTTGGAAGTGTACTTTACATGTCAGCACAGAGTCAGTTTACAAAGCATCCCTCTTCCTTCACGGGAACCGTACTCTAAGCGGCTGTGGGTTTCGATAGGAGCAGAGGACAGATATGCTTGGTTAGCTTGGCTGCCTTTCCGCTTCACTGGATGCCCCCCGAGAGACAGTGAAGAAGAAAAGAACGAGAGAGAAAGTTACAGTACAGAGAGTTGCACTCTTGTTTTGGCCAGTTTGTTTCTCCGTTTGCTTCCCTTGTTTATTCACACTGCTGGAGAAGGATAAAGTGGATGTTTCCTTCGGCAAGGCAGTAAGTTGAACCTTTGACAGTGAGTGACCTCGGTAGATTTTAATGCCTGTTTCATAAAGGGGCATTGCAGAGGGCCTGTCAGATATTGAGCACAATTGAAGAGTCTGCTCATGTGTGCAGCGGCGGTCAGATGATCAGTCATTGAAGTGAACTGATCTGAGAGCAGATTGGCCGCGGTCTGTGGAGTTTGCTAGCGTTAGCCCACTGGCAGAGCTCCAGATAACTCCTCTTATTCTCCAGTATCGACATTATATCGGCCTGTTTAACTCCATCCAGCAACACTTCAAGCATAATGTGGTGGTTTAAAATGTGCAGAAGTGCATATGACTCTTGAATATAACCGCTGCTGATTACTACTGGGGTTTGTACTTCCTCTTCTGAGACGCTGACAAAAACACAGCCTGTTCCTGTGTAGCCAAGCACCTTTTTTTTTTTTTTTTTAGATATAATTGTGTTTTGGTTTCAGTTGTCTACACTTTGTATTGTTTCTTTAGTTTTTCTCTGCAAAGGTGTAGGTTTTATAAGTAAGAGTTGAGGAGGTCCTCAGGGACCCATCTTTGGCTCAGTTCCTATCAATTACGCCTGAAGCGTACCCACTGACTCGACTCTCCCCAGGTCTGTTTCTGAACCCTAACTGAACGTCTTCATGAATGAAATATGCTTTTCTGTGTTTGATAGTTGCAGCAGTTCTTTTAAGATGAAGCTAGAATTCTGCGACTCAAGCTTTGAAGTGAGTAAGATGTGATTTGGACCCATTCTGGGAACTTTCACGCAACGAGTATAACCTTACTTCCTCGTACCACTTTTAATTCAAAGATTATTAACCAATGGTAAACATCACCACTCCAAGAGAGTGGAAGGGAAGAGAGAGTGATGCTATACCACTGGTAATCATACTGACTTTGAACTGTCTGCCATCTGATGAGTGTACTGCCAAAACTGCATCTCTAAAATATACTTTCATGGCACCAGTTGGAGGAGGAGGAGGTGGTAGGTGTTGTCTTCACCCTGTCTCCAGCGTATTTTGAGACTAGGTGCAGCTGGCAGTCTCCAGGGATGAATTACTTTATAAGGCTACGCAGATGCTTGCTTTTGCCTCATGCTATAAATCCTCATAGCAGAGCTGGCAGAGCAGTCGTTGGTCAAGCTTTGCTTCATTTGTCTGCGCAACTGCTGCTTTATGTAGTGGTGAGTGTGGTCCGCTTGAAAGTGCCAGGGAAAAGCGCTCTCAACAACTCGCTTACAGCTAAAGCGTTTATCTGGAGACCGCCAAGTAATGAACAATGAGTCGAGGAGGTGTAAATGTGCTCTTGCCCTCTTTAAAGTATACAAAATGGGCCACTGTTATCTAGTTTTCCCCCTAAGAGTGTTAGTCTTACTGGTGTTTGAGATTTGGTATTGATAGCTGCTCCATTTTACATTCCTCTTTTCCTCTACGCCGCAGCATCTCTTTCTCCCCCACTGCTCAAAGGGCCTGGTGTTAAATAGCTTTTAACAAAACAAGGATATAGTGATCAACAGGGATTTTAGATCTATGTCTTTCAAGAGATCCAGACTCCTACTGTATTGAAAAGTAGTCTTTTTTTGAGCTTCTGAGGAATAGGGCCAAACTACAGACAGAATGCAAGTTAAAGCAATTGTTCATTTTATTATACAATGATGAAATTGATATTATCACCTCAATATTTATTTTATGTATTTATTTGAACCGTATACACATAATGGCATATTTTTACATTAGTTACCAGAGCAGCAAAAAATAATAATACAAATAAATAAAATATGTGTACACAATAATACTAACATTTATATAAGTCTAGCACATTATTTTGAAAACTGTTTTCAAATGTTGCAATCTAATTCAAATATTTGGTAGGTTTTCGGAAGTTTTGGAAGCTATGCAAGTTTTATCTAAAACTTCTCCCATCAGTGTAGAAACACTTGGAACTGCTCTGTCAGACTGGTTAAATTATTGATAACATTGTGAATCCAGTAAACCTCAAAGGCAGACCACTTTTTAAGCTTGTCTTCAGGAAATCAAACATCTAAATGCTCACAGACTTTGATGCCAAACAGAATAATATTTTTTTGTTGATCAGCCAGTTTTTTATTTCTTTTTTTTTTCGTCTTTGATTGTGGACTAAAATTGTGGTTTATGGACCTGAAGACATTTCAGAACACTACCAGGAAACTTAAAGAGAATATTACCTATTCACATTTCATTCTGTCAGAGTAAAAATAATGTATATCTTATTGTAAAAAAAAAAGTACAACAAAAATAGTTTTATAAACCCAAAACTTGGAAAGTAACAATTTAAATAACATAATTTGAATCAACATTGTTAGTAATAGTGTATATTTCCAGAGTCTTGCTTCGTGCCGTTGAGGGCAGGTTGTCGTGCACTGTTTGACCTCAGTTTGAGAGCGACTTGTTTATAGAAAATACTCACTACTTATTAACTGGTTTAATCAATGGTCCATCCTTTGCAGATATGCTCAGGGCTTGACCTTTTGAGAAAAAAACCCTAGTGTTCTGTGCCCTTTCATTCCAAATCATAGTCTTGGAGATTTGCAAGATTGTCGACAGTCACCTTCTGTCAATACATGCCTTAGAAGCAACGTTATTTGTTCAGAAATGCAGCTTAGACCTCATTTAAATCCTCTTCTTTGTCAGATTCCGATTTTATTGTAATGTTGTTTTCCTTGTAGCCACAGTTGCTTGGCCTTTCCACCCCCTCTCTCTCACACTCTTATTCCCTATTTCCCCCAGACTCCCTTCGCTTGGTAGTATCAATCAATGGTTCTGCTTGTGTTTCTGCTTGGGGGATCAAATTGGATACACTGGTGGACTGAGTGTGTGGCATGACCTACTGCATTTGAAAAGCAATTCAACGCCTCCACTTTTATGTGCCGCTGAAATAAGATGGATGCTGGCAAAACTTGCTCCTCCTCTTGCCCTAATAGGTTTTCTTCACTGCTGACATCCGCTCTCAAGATAATAGAAGTCTGACTCTTCGGCACGGTGATGACATGCATTGCTTGTTGCTTTTGAAATATAAACCCCATCAGCACCACTGTCCTCTTTAAACGGTGCATCATATGAATTCTTACAGAAATTTGAACTCACTGCAGCACCTGAACACTTCACCGATATTCTCTGTGATCGCTCGCACTCCTCCCTTTTCCTGCTTGGTGAGGAAAGCTGTGTTTTTTGCATTGGTTTGAAGTGCAAATTGATGTTGAATGAAGTCGTATGGTAGCTTTTTTTTTTCTTTGCTCTCACATACATAGACTAGCAGTAACCCGAAATGAAGGAGCTTTTTGGGGAGCACTGCTCAGCCCTGCTGGTGTTGGTGCTTTGAGTGGCTCAAGCAATAGATGAGCTTTATCTGGGTAAATTAAGTGCGATGGGGTGGTGAAGATGGTTACTGGCTGCTCCACAGATGGAGCTCTGAAGCGAGATCTAATGAAGATGTATTTTAATAATTGGTGTCAATGCTGAAGTAATTCATGGAGAAGGAGGAGCCCAGGGCAGCACTTGACCTCTAAAAGGAGGACTACCATCATTTTTGTCTCTTAATGACCGGCGAGCCTATGATGAGAGAGAAAGAGAGAGAAAAAGCAATGAAAAGCAAGTGAGGGTCAAGCTGTAGAGTCCCATATATCTCACACAGAATCAGTGGTAAAGATTAAAGCAGTGTGATAGTACAGCAAATGCAAGAATTGGAGCTGTCAAGCGGCTAAATATTTTGTTCACATTTTGTGCAGTATATGTCAAATTATCAAATTAATTATGATCAAATTAATTGTGGTTAATTGCATAATCAATATTTGTTGCCCCCAAGTAAACAAATGGGTCATGCTGTTTTTTAGCATCTTGCCATGCTCAAATAAATTGTTTTAGGTCAAGGTTTTTAAGTGTGGCTTGCAGATGCAGTAGACTGTAGATGCAGATAGAGTTACTTACTGAAGACTTGGAAAAGCACAAAAGTGGTACTTTAAGGTTGAATTGTGATGTAGGAAAATCCTTCACAATATGATTTGTGTAAGAGTTAATTGTGCTTGTAATTTAATTAGGATAACTTTATATTATTATTTTATTATGAATTAATTAAAATATTTAAAATGACATTTGATATTGATATTAAATTTGTTTTATTTTATGTAAGTTTAGGACATTCTGTAAATGTCATTTAATATCAAACAAATGTGCCACAGGGATGCAACGAAATGAAAATTCTTGACCGAAGCCGAAACAAAATTAAACACTGGGCCGAAGGCCGAATACCGAACACTGTTTTTCACCAATTTTTTCACCATTGCATAAATTAAATAGCCAAAATTAGCTTTTTACCGTTTTTATTGCTTTTCAAAGAAAAGGTCAATTACAAAACAACAATTATAAAAAAATTACTTACCACTGAAATTTTTTTTAACATTCTAGCAGACGTTATATCAACAAA